TTCAAAATTTGACAAAAACAACATAAGATGACTGTAATTTAAAACTGGCATTAAAGGCGGCGGGCGATATGCATTCCTTCAAGGAATGCCAAGTCTTTAATTTGGTACAAAAGCGTTTGTTTACACACACAAATCCAAACCAGTTAATAAACCTCCCATTTGAGAGTAACGAAGCAAAAACCCATTCAGCCCATTTCAGTCGCTGGCTCCCAGCGGGGTGATGAAGAAGCTGAGTTCTCAATCAAGTTCAGACCAATTAAAGCTCACATTCCTCCCCGCCGAGCGTTCTTTATTCACAACAAACGTTGCACGTTTTTGCCAACTGCTAAAGAAGAACTGGAGTTTTATAATGAAGAGAGAAAGTGGTGGGCACGGACAAACAGAGGCAGCCACAATACGGCGGAACAGAAGGGCTTTCTGTTCACTCTTGTTTCCAGTGTTCCCAGGGGGGAAAGCTGTTCTGCTGCCCATACATCCTGGAAGCAACAGCAGACCTGCAACCCCTTCATGACCACCTCTTAAATATATATGGAGGCAGCCCCCTCAGGCACTTCCAGGGGTTTTTAGACCTTCTGAGGCTCTTTTGACATCCTGTTCTTATCAGCATCTTAACAGATCCTACAACCTGACACACATTCACATGACAAGAACATTATATGTGAATCAGCTCAATAAATAAAAAAACTGGTTCATGCATTTATCACGTCTAGACTGGACTATTGCAATGGTTTGTTATCCGGGTGTCCAAAGACTTCAAACGTCTTCAGTTGATCCAAAATGCTGCTGCCAGAGTCTTAATTGGAGTTAGTATCATATCTTTCCAGTTTTAGCTTCAACTCCATTGGTTCCCTGTCAAATCCAGAATTGAAGTCAAAATCTTACATCTAACCTACAAAGCACTCAACAACCTAGCTCCATCTTGATCTTATTGTTCCATATTTTCCTAACAGAGCACTTTGCTCTCAGACTGCAGGTTTACTTACGGTTCCTAGCATTTCCAAAAGCAGAATGGGAGGAAGATCTTCCAGTTATCAGGCTCCTCTCTTGTGGAACCAACTTCCAGATCATGTCCGTGAGGCTGACGCATTGTCCAGTTTTAAGACTGGGCTTAAGACTTTTCTTTTTGATAAATCCTATAGTTAGGGTTGGCTTGTTATGCTGCTATAGGCTTATACAAATTGACCTCATTTCCTTAAACGAATTGTTACAAGTGAATAGTTTTCATTTGATACTTTTTCTGTCTTAACACGTGCTTCTCGATCTGCCATTGTGTATCTGTTCCTCCTTCCCATTCCTCTCAAACCCAGCCGGTCGAAGCAGATGGCCACTTGTCCTTTGGTTCTGTTAAAGGTTTCTTCCTCATGTGGGAGTTTTTCCTTTCCACTGTCACCTTCATGTGTGCTCAAGATGAGAGTCTGTGATGGAGTTAAATTCAAAGCAGTCTGCTCCTCAGATAAATAATGTTATCTTATTATTTTTTATATATGAATGTTTCTGTTCAGTACCTGGAAATGACTTCTGTTGTGACTTGGCGCTAGATAAATAAACTGAATTGAACCGAATTAAATTATTGAAAGTTTTAACTATACTTTAAAGTTGTTGTTGTCGTTTTAAAGCTAGGGTTACTCCTGTTTTTTCTGGAATCATCAGAACTGTATACTTGTCTACAATGTAGTTTGGAGAGCCTTCTTACTTTGATGCATCATCATCATCTCTCGAAGTGCAAACAAGTAAATTATCTTTTTTCAGCTTTTCCTTTTTCAGGGGTCGCCACAGCGAGTCATCCTCCTCCATCACACTCTGCCCTCTGCATCCTCTGTCCTCACTCCATCTGAGGCAATAAATCTTTAAATAAATCCATATTGTCTGCCACCTTAGAGACATAATGGATTTATAACACTTATGGTTCAAACCTTGTAAATGATGTGATGCTTTTAATCATGTGATATATGGCGCTCAGAGTATGTGCTGAGGATGACTCTCAGCTACTACTCGCCAAATAGCTCAATATTTGCATATTTATCCGAGTTATAGTCTATTTTGTGATAGCTAAGGATGATTTGTTGTGTTGCCATTTTGAACTGAATTGACTCCAGAAGTTCATGAGTTGTAGGTGAACCAACACAGTCCATCGCTACTTCGCGGTTTGACTTTTGCGGACTCGCTCTTTCGCGGTTTTTCAGCGATTGTCAACAACAACAAAAAATAAGTAATTTGGACAGGCACCACCATTTTATAGTTTTCTTTCAATAAGCATATACTGTATCGCCAGTCAAAAGAACTACACTACCCAGAAGCCAACAGTGCTTCCAGCTGCTGCTTTCTACTGAAATGGATGGAAAGTTTTGCAACACAGTCAGAAGTTATGATTGATCTATGAAGCTCACAGAACTGGCAGGAAAGTTGCAAATAATCCTGAAGCTGAACTCATCCTTCAAGTTGTATTTTCACTGGTGAGTACCTGGGCTGCAGTTGATCCGGACTCATTGTGACCCGGATCCTGGGGGCTGCAGGGGACAGACGGCGGCGGGGTTCGGCCTAGTTCTGATCGCACGGTGCTGGTCCGGACCGGGCCGAGGTGCTGGACTGGACTACTGGGCAGCCTTGCGTGCCGATTATCCAGGAGCGGCAGCACGCGCACATCAACCTGGACGGGGCGGTTGGCTTCGTCATGCTGCAGGGTAGCCGAACGGAACTGAGCCCGAAGGGAGCCCAGCTTCTGAACTGGTGAGTTCTCATAAAATTTTGCAGTACTACTGCACAGTACATATACGTATGTTGTTAAAATGACATAGGTTTAAGAGTTTATAACATTGCAAGAGTGTGGGAAGTGTTTATAAAGCCTTAAAAAATATATAAATACTAAAATAAGTATAACGTCCCTACTTCATGGATTTTCACCTATCGCGCATGTGTGCGGAACGTAACCCCCGCGATAAATGAGGGACTCCTGTAATTAGTTTGAGAGTTTCACTAGATTTTATGTAGTGGCTCATGAGATATTTTGTTAACAGACATACTGTTGATTTTTAAGGCTGATTCCAAAATTTCAAGTGAAAAATGTGGGTACTGTGCAGTGCTAGTATCTGTTGAGGATGACTCTCAGCTACAACCACATTTTAACACAACTTCTATAGAAACGGCTGAGTTAAAGCATATTTATTTTTGTTTGCTAAGGTCAGTTGGCTATGGCAGCCATTTTAAATTGGGTGAACTCCAAAGTTTAATCAGTTTTTAGATACTCAAAGATTGTTTTGTGAAAGATTCATTAAAATCAGTCCTGTTGTTCATGAGGTATTTTGTTAACAGACAGACGCATTTGACTCCGCCGGAAAGTTTTGTTATCAGTTAGTGCTCAAACTCTATGTTGCAAATGACTCTCAGCTGCTAACTCACATAATTTCAGCTCAATATCTGTAAATTTCACAGTTATAGCCTTTTTTTTACACATTGCTCAGCTGTGGTGGCCGTCTTAAATTACGGTTGACTCCCAAAGCTCACCTGTTATAGTCGTACATTGATTTTTCCTGAGAGTTTCATTAAAATCATTAAGTGGTTCATGAAATAGCTGCAGATAAAAAAACAGGAAAAACCATGATCACCGCCTCACCTCCTGGGGGGCAGGATATTTAAATAAAACCCTCTTCCATTCTTACAGCTGCATTTCAGACATCACAGGAAGGAGATCAGCATTCCTCCGGCCCAGCGGTAAAAACTGTTTTTAGGTCTAATTGTTTAACTTTTTGAAATATCTGATTGATCTGCTTAAAGGCAGAAGGTTGGAAACATGAAGTCCATGGTGGGCGGGGTCAGAGGCAATTTTGGTGGCAGCCCAATAAAACTTAATTAATTAAAGGGAACCAAAGAGGCGTCCATAACACATGACAAATGTGATCTGAACCGGATGGAAAAACAGGACTGACGTAAAACAAGTTCAGCTGAACAATGACCCAAGTTGTTTATTTACACCGAGGGGGGTGGAATAAACATCTGGATACAAAGTAAGTTTGACGATTTTCAAACGAGAGCAAGAGGGAAGAACAAAGAGCAGAGCTGGCAGAAACAGACAAAGGAAATACCACATGAATGCAGAACACAAAGACCAAAAAAAGAGATAAAAACCAAATAAAACTGAATCATAAACTGATATTGATGACAAAACAAAGCAGGACAGCGACGTAACATAAAAACAGGTTATACAATAACATGTCCTGCAATACCTGTAAAGCTGCTCGGCAATTTAATAAAGTAGTAAAAGTGCAAAATGTAGCCAGGTTTTTAGTTTATAGTGGTTTTGCAGTTTGAAGATCTTGTGAAGATGCTGATTCAGCATTCGTTCTTTCCTGTATTTATTTGTTTATTTTTTGCAATTTAAGTCTGCATATTTTTATATATTTTAGTCATTCGTCTGCCAAAACATTCAGCTCATTTAGGAAATGGGTGCAACAGCTTTTGGTTTAACTCTTATGCTTTTCAAAATAATTAATTTTATTTTTGAATATCTTTCTTATAGAAATACATTAAGAGCTCCTCGATTGCTTCAAAAACTTTTTTTTTAATCGGCTTCAGTGTGTTTGTTCTGTTTTTGTCAATTTATACTATAGTCTTTAGCTAATATTTTGTTACTTTTAGTTTTTAGGTAGCCTTTACCTTTTTGCTAGTGTTTAGCTGCTTTTAGCCAAAAGACAAAAGTAGCAAAACAATTTTAGCTAGCCTTTACTATTTCAAACTTTAAACTAGTCTTTTGCTACTCTAAGCTTTTAGTTAGTCTTTTACTTCTGTAATGCTTAGTTATCATTTGGCCACTTTAGCATTGAGCTAGCTATTTGTAATTACAGCTTTTAGCTACCATTCTGCTGCTTTTAGGTTTTAGCTAGCCTTTTCTATTTCAAACTTTAAGCTAGTGTTCTCTAAGCTTGTAATTCATATTTTAATTCTTGATTGTTTAGTTATCAACTGGCCACTTTAACATTGAGCTAGCTATTTGCTAATTTTAGCCCATATTTTAGCCCATTCTGCTGCTTTTACTTTTTAGCTAGCCTTTTTTATTTCAAACTTTAAACTAGTCTTTTGCTACTCTAAGCTTGTAATTAAGCTTTTACTTCTTGAATGTTTAGTTATCATTTGGCCACTTTAGCATTGAGCTAGCTATTTGCTAATTTTAGCTTTTAGCTACAATTCTGCCACTTTGTTTTTAGCTAGATTTTCCTACTTTTCAATTTAACTATTTCTTTTAGCGTCTAATTAACCTTTTCTACTATATTTTGCTTCTTGTATCAAGTGTTTTGCCACTTTTAGGTTTAGCAAGCTTTTTGCTACATTTAGCTTCTATTTATTGTTTAGCTACTTACTTTTAGGTTTAAGATTTAAGCTTTTGTGGGGTCGAGATGAGGTAGAGGCAGGGCAGCCAACCTGGGACCAAAAAGTCGTGGTTTGATTCCCATCCATTCCCACATGTCGTGGTGTCGCTGAGCAAGACACCCAATCCTCAATTTCTCCCCGGGCGCCTACATATCTGCCCACTGCTCCACCTGTGTGAATCTCACGTGTGATGGGTTAAATGCAGAGAACTAATTTCGCCATGGTATGGAAACATACAATGATGACAATCTCAGACTTCCCTTCCCTTAAGCTACTACTTTTAGATAGCATTTTGTTGCTTTAACTTTTAGCTAGCATTCAATTTTTTTTTAAAGTCTTTTAGCTCGACCTTTGCTCGTTATAGCTTCAACAACACAGTTTCACCTTTTTCTGTAAATTTAAGCAGTCATTTAATGCTCACCATTGACTTCACAAAAAAAGCAGTTTTTGTGTTTAATATACAAATTTTTTTTTTTTTTTTTTTTTAGGGAAATGAATCAATTATTTAACTCTTTTTTATACTTTTTGAGTCAAACATGAATAAAATAATACTTAATTTTAGTATACATATTCAATATCTAAAGTTTGTTATGGAAACTGCATAAATCAAAAGCACCTTGGGCAGTTTTCCTCTTGGTGCTGCTGAGTTCTGTTCTTTTCTTCTTTAGTGGCTGTTGGTTTTTTTTAACAGACAAACAAAAGAGGGGGAGGAGTTCCTGAGAGGCTGTGGGCGGAGTTACAATAACTGCTCTCCTCAAGCCCCAAAAAACTGTGTAAACCCAGCAGCACAAAGGAGGAGTGAAGACCTGGAGTGCGATCGGTACTGACAGAAAGCTTCCCAGGCTGCTGGAGGAAGAACCTGAGAGACTCGTTTATTCTGTTAGAGGAAGAAGGACAAAGGAAAGGAAATGAGTCCTGAAAAACAAATAATAATGTGAAAGACGGTCACATTATTCCAGAGACAGCGAGCGTGGCTCTAAGCAAACTTGAGTACTGCTCTTGCGAGGAAACATGATGCTGCTGCATGCTCCTGTGAGCATGGGGACACATGTGACAGCTTTGCTACTTTGGAGTTGAAACAAGCAGAAACGCAGGAGTCACATTTAACAAAGGGATCGAATCCAGCCATGTGGACACCCTCTCTAATGGAGCTGTATTAGGAGAAGTCCCCTCTGGCCTTGGATCTCATGCTATCTCCTGATGATTTGGACCATTTGAGTGGAAAGGAGCCACATTTGACTGATTTATCTGAGTAAGTAACAGTGAGCCTGCGTCTGGTGAAAAGAGACTGGACAGGGGGAGGGGAAGAGGTTCCAGCCTGGATCTCTGTCCTTTGGGAGGATCCTCTTAAAGTGCTTTAACGGCTAAAACAAATATATCAAGAGAGGGGAAGTAAATCTCACTGGCCACGTGCTGCTGTCTTCTTTGTAATAGTTGGAAAGAATAATCTGCGGTGATGGCCTGAGTGTGTTTCAGTGCACCAGACTACTCTGGTCTTTGCTTTTCATTCATTGGGCAGGTGGGCACAGTTCATCACTACAGAGACCCTTGGCTCATCGTCCCATGATGTACCCCACCCCTCTGCCCGAGAATATCACCCTACAATCGACAAACTGCACCAAGAATGATGACTTCAAGTACCCCCTGTACAGCACGGTCTTCAGCATTGTGTTTGTGATCGGGCTCATCACCAACGTCGTGGCCATGTACATTTTCACCTGCTCCCTAAAGCTGAGGAACGAGACCACGACCTACATGATGAACTTGGTGGTGTCCGACCTGCTGTTCGTCTTCACGCTGCCCCTCAGGGTGTTCTACGTCATAAACAAAAACTGGCCTTTTGGAGCGCCGCTCTGCAAAATCTCTGTCTCGCTCTTCTACACCAACATGTACGGCAGCATCCTCTTCCTCACGTGCATTAGCGTGGACCGCTTCTTGGCCATCGTGTACCCTTTCCGCTCCAGGATGCTCAGGACCAAACGCAACGCCAGGATAGTGTGTGCAGCTGTGTGGGTGTTGGTGCTGTCAGGGAGTCTCCCCACTGGGTTTTTGCTGGACAGCACCACAAGAGACAAAACCAACGACACCATTTTCTGCTTCGAGAACTTTTCGTCCAAGCAGTGGAAGTCCCACCTGTCGAAAGTGGTGATCTTCATAGAGACGGTGGGCTTCCTCATCCCTCTGCTGCTGAACGTCTGTTGCTCCATCATGGTGTTACAGACTCTAAGGCAGCCTCAGACCGTCAGCCGTGGGGGGAAAGTGAATAAAACAAAAATCCTGCGCATGATAATCGTGCACCTCTCCATTTTTTGTTTTTGCTTCATCCCCTACAACGTAAACTTGGTGTTTTATGCGCTGGTTCGCACTAAAACCTTGAAAGGCTGCTTCGCGGAGTCGGTGGTTCGAACGATCTACCCGATAGCTCTTTGCATTGCCGTCTTCAACTGCTGCTTTGATCCCATTGTTTACTACTTCACCTCTGAGACCATCCAGAACTCCATCAAGCGGAAGTCTCCGAGCAGCCGTTCATACGACATCAAGTTCTCAGAGGCCCAGCAGTCGGAAACCAACAGCAACCTGCAGTTTAGCTTGAGGAACCTCAAAGCTAAGGTCTTCCACACCGAGTCCTCAGTGTGACGTTAAGGTCAAGGTGTAAAGTTGGAATCCACCATATAAAGTTAGTTTTCCATGGAACGACGCAGGTTGGTGGTTTTTCGGAGTACTTTACCGTATTTTGGTCTTCATCTCAGGGCGAATGTTTGGAAGTGTGGATTTAAAAGCTTCTGCTCTGCAGGACGTGACCCTTTGCTCACATGTGGATTTGTTATGACTACTTACTAACTTCTCTTCCTGGGGAGTGTACTGTTACTGAGTTCAACACAATTACACTGCCAGTGATGAAAAAGGGAATTTACTATGATCGCTGAACTGGTATAACATTCACCAGTTCATGTGTATTTGTACATATCTGTGGTAAGTTGTGCTAACTTTAGAGTATTATCTATTAAATTAACAAAGACGTATAACAACTTACACAAATGAAAGGATTTTTGTTTGAAAGTGTGAATTACAAACGCATCCCTCTGTGATTTACAGTTATTTAGGTGAGGAATTGTGAAACACAGAATGCAAAGTTGCCTTTTTTTTTTGTGTGTTAATGTGGTGCCATTTTATTTTAAAACTTGTTACTGAACACTGAATGCACTGACAGAGTACTGCACTCACACCATTGTCATCAATAAAAGCCATTTACTGTGTAAAACGAACCACTGCTCCGGAAACCTTTTGTCATTTCAATTGGTTTGACTCAAACGTGACATGAGGTGGTAAAAAGTAAAAGGGCCCTGGATTTTTTAATTTTTTTGTCTTTCTTCTGTGGGAGAGTTCTATCTTCCTGTGTGGCGAGAGACGTTCTTAATTGGTATTTTCTCACTTTTATAGTATAACATTTGAGTGTGTGATGTATAAAGGGCCTTAAAAGGATTTAAGTTTATTTTTATGTCATAATAGTTACTAATTAAGCACCACCAGTGGTACATGGGTGCAATGAAAGAACCAAAGCACTGCAGTTTGTGTTTTGTTTATTTTTATCCAGACCGTAATTTACTTTTATCTGCCTGAAGCCCTGAGACTTCCTTTTTCTCACAGTGAACACAGAGTTCATTAGACTTTTAAATGACACACACAAAACCTAGTGAAACTGCATCGCAAACTTAAGTAATTAAAACGAAAAAAGCAGAACTCCAGCTAAAATCTAAAAGTTGCTAAATTCATCCATCCATTGTCTTTACCTACTTCCTTTTGGTGGGGTCACTGGTGCCCATATTCAGCAGTCACTGGGTGAGAGGTGGGACACCCTGGTCAGGTCTCCAGTCCATCACTGGGCAAGTTGCAAAATGTCATCTTGAAGTAGCAAAACACCAGCTAAAAGCTAAAGGTGGTAAAAGGCTAGTTAAAAGCCAAATCTAGCAAAAGGCTGGCTAAAAGTGGCAACGTTGTAGCTAAAGGTCAAAACAAAAGCAAAAAGAGGGCTAAAATTGTTGGGTTTACTGTATAATCAGTGTCTGGCCGTGACAGTTTGATTTTATTTTTCATGTCTCCTGTTTTCGTCATACTTTTCTGCAATAAAATATTCCATAGATAAGTTAGAAAAAAGTAGCAAATATTATCTAAAAGCTAAAAAAAAGTCAAAAAGCTTGCTAAAAGCAGCAAATCAGTAGATAAAATTAAAAGTAGCAAAAGGCCAGCTAAAAGGAGCAAAAATCTAGCTAAAGCTACTAACTACATTGTAGTCAAAAGTAGCTAAAGTTTGTTTTGTTTTGTTTATTGCTAGTATTGTACAGTCAGGGCAGTGTCTTGTTTTGTGTCTTTCTTCCTGTTTCTATTTTTTTATCTTTTTACACTAACTTTATTTTTTTTTTAAATTACCACAAACTTAAGTCAAAGCTAAAAATAGCGACAGACTTCCTCTTGTAAAAGTATAAAAAATGTTAGCTTAAAAGCAAAAAGCAGCAGTAGAAGAATAGCTAAAAGCTAAAAGTGGTATAAGATGACTAAAAGTAAATGGGCGAGCATTCAGAAACAAATGTCGAAGAGCTCTAATTTCAAATACTGAAAAAAAATTATTTGCGAATAAAATTACATATTTTGAAAAGTATTTAGTCACATTCCAAAAATCATTAGCACTCAACTTCAGAATACTAGAGTGAAAATAAACTACAACTAAAGTGAAGGCAGCAATGCAATAAACAGACATTTAATTGGAAAACCTTGTCACATTCGAATCGGACGTTTACATGAAATGTGGCTAAAGTTAAGCTAAGCGCGGTCCAAACAGATGAAGTTAGCTGTCTGAGCTAAAAGTTCAGGCTTTAAACTGGTTTCAGTTTGTTTTTACTTCCTCATCTGCTTCATGCACAGCAAGTCTAGACAAACTATAGATTTCATGGCAGCTGGAGGTATGTTTTCCAAGAAATAAATACTTCTTAAGTAGTATTTATTATGAAAACAGAAGTGCGTGAAGTAAGCTAGTTGGTGACAGCAGAATCACATTTTCCGTGCTACGTTTGTTTTCCTACCTTCAGCTTGTGTTTCCAGCACTTTTCCCGCGTCTTTTGCAGTATATACAAACCATAGTGGGTTTTATTTTTTAATAAAACACTGAAATAGCTCCCATGAATGTCACAGTGACGTCCAACTACAGGCAATATTTGGTGTTGTTCAAGTTGTCAGCTTTCACACTTTCAAGCTTAGATTTGCACAACTTGAGCTGATGTTATTTGTAAATTAAAAGCAGCACAAGCAAAAATATAAGTGGCTCTTTTTTTTAGGAAGGACAGCGTGTTGGAAGAGTCCGTGAAAAATCTTTGAGCTTCCAGTCATTGAAAGCTACTGTGGTGGAGACCCAGAATAAAAACCTAAAAGTTGACCAGGTGCCCTTTGCTACAGGAAATGTTGCGTTTGTGGTGCTGTGAATAAACTACAAGTGATAACATCATTGAGGTGTCAACACAGCATGAGGGAGAATAACAGAACACAGACGCTGCTTGAGCTTTACTGAACCAGTCTGAAGGTCATCAGGCAGCACAATCAAATTAGGACTCATGAGTTCATGTGAAAAAGTCCAGGGAACAACGATGCATTTTACTGTTGACTCTAACAGGTAATCATTTGTAGATGTTCATCCAATAATTACTTCCTGAGAGCTTTATGCCATTTATGAGATACTCTGCTAATTATATAGACAAACATGCAAGAAAAGAGGACAAAAACACCACCTCGCCTTCAGTGGCAGGCGATAACAAAAACGAAACGTGGCTTTGCGCATCATTAAGCCTGTCAAGGGTCAAGCAGTCAGTTCTGTGTGCAGATGATCCAATCCGACCAGGTGTTTTTCTGCTGATGTCTATAAGGATAAAGGCAGGAAGCGAACAGGACAAAGGAAATCACAGCTTAGAAGCACTTCAGATAACAACACTTAGGTTTTGAAGTCATTGTAATAATTGAACACAGGCGCTTTGTAAACGTCTCGTTCAGTTCTTCATCTTGTTCCTGTTTATTGATTTGTGTGAGCTAAAGTTTGCTGCAGATAAGGTTGCATGTTTTCTGTCTCTGCAGCGGCTATCTAATCAGCTTGACCTTTCCTTCCCCGCGGGCCGCAGGTTGGAAAAAAAAACACACATCACGACTCGTCATCGTGTAGAGCCGTTCTGCTCTGCAAATGCAAGTCCACATGAATCAGAGGAGGGAAAAGGCGAAATGTGACGTCTTGTCTCGTCAGTGACGCAAAAGGATTGAAACATCCTAATTTTATGCAGAGTATTTTGAGTTCTAACGTCACTAGTTTGATCTTTTCGGGTTTCTATCGCTCGTTGCAGATGTGAGGCAGAGCTCCTGTTTGTGTCTGTTTATATGTAGCGTTAGCAAAATATCTCATTTTGACAAAACTCACGGAATGTAACAATTGAATGAACATTTACAACTGATTTACTTTTGGAATCAACCAAATTTAAGATGGCTGAAGCACCTGAGTGACCTTAACACTAACATTGTTATAATTCAGCCAGTTTTACAGAAACTGAGATAAAATTTGGTGTTGTAGTAGCTGAGCATTATCTCCAACATCTACTCCAAGCACATCTTTGTGTATAGGTTTGCCTTTAACTTTTGGCTTTAACAGTGTTTCTGACATCAAACTGAGGACTAAGTGGTGTTTTAGTGAGATATAAAAAGCTAAAGTGCACTGGTTAAAAAAGTTGTGATAATAGACTTTTGTCAAAGTATAATAAATAAATAAATACATTTTTTATGGGGTCCCTTGAAGGACAAATTTGAAAATATAATCATTAAGAGTGTTTTGAAGCACTTTTCTGAGCAACACTAACAACTAAAAGTGATTTTGAGCAGAAAAGCCCTAAATTTTTGCCACTTTCCTGTTGTGTTAGCAAAATTGTTTTCTACAAGCAGGGAAATCCCAATATCCAAGGTTCTTTATTGTCAATCGCATCACGTGGTACATGAGGTGGAACGAACTGTGTACTCAAGGTCCCAGTTATACCCCCAAATAGCAATAAAGTATAAAAAAAATACAGTATACAAGGATCTAAGGTATACGCAAAACAATAGTAATGTAATATAATACAGTGTATTAAACAGCAGCCTGAACATGAGTCTGTTGTGAGCAGATGGGTATATAGCAGCTTAAAGGCAACAGATCAGCAGCATGGATAACCAAAAATTGAAATATCATTTGTGGTTTTCTTTTACAAACAAAGTCAAGAAATCCTCATTAGAAAATGCTTAAAATGGAATTCAGATCAGTTTAAAAGCCAAATGCAGCCATATCTTTAGAATGCTCAAAAAGCCAGGAATCTGAAAACATGCGCATTTGAGTGCAACCAAATTAGACCTAATCCCTGATTTGATGTGACGGGTCACATTTGTCTTTTAGCAAAACTTCTCATGAACCACTGGACAGATTTTAATAAAACTCAGAAAGCCATCAGTGTCTTCAAGTCTGTATCACGAGTATACACTTGTGCTTTAAAGTGTAAAAAGTTCAGATGAGCTCAGGCGTGCAGGTTGAAATGAGGTCATCATCCTTAGATTATAGCTTTGGATCACGTGAACAAGGAGAAGTGACTTCCTGCCAAATGGATGTGGGAGATGAGGGAGGTTGCTGCACCAGATAATCATTCATTTTCACTCCAGGCAGGAGAAATCAGGGAGGAAATGGTTGTAATTATCCTGATATGACTAGTGCTAATTTAGATATCTGCGCTATTTTATCATCATTACAGCATGCCTGATAATTCATTCCTCGAATTTTATGGAAAAAAGGGCTATTTTTAAAGGAGATTTGTCACCCTGTCTAGATTAATGGAGGTACAGAGACGGTGGAGA